AGAGAATGAATGATTTATCGTAAAATAAAATACGAAGAATTAAAAGCTTACCCAACATCAAGGATTCTTGTGCCATCAGTTTTCAATAATTCTGTTACGGGAGCAGAAAAATTGCTCCCCCATACTTGTTGATAAACGTAATGCTGAAATTGTAGTCTGTTAATCTCATCTTCATTAATAAGATATAAGTAATGAAAACTTAGGCTTTTGTGATTGTGATGTAACGGTAATGTTTTCGATTGAAATAAATGAGTTACCTTTTTTATAGGTATATTATTTTCAGCTGCTAATTTATAAAATTCAAATGCCTTTTCCTTATTAATTTCAATTCCAATTCCATATTCATAACAAAATCCAAGTTGATATTGTGCATAAAAATATCCTTGCTTAGCTGATTTTTGGAAAAATTCAAAAGCTTTTCTTTCATTTTTCTTTATACCTTTACCATCTTTAAAACAATTTCCTAAATTATATTGGGCAATTTTATTGCCAGATTCTGCTGCTTTTTGAAAATAAGAATATGCTTTATTATAGTTTTGTTTCATTCCAATACCATTATAATTATTAATTCCGATTTGTCTTAATTTTTCAAAATAAATTACTTTATAAAGTTTTTCATTTCTTTTCTTAAGAATAATTTTTTTATTATAATTTTTCTCAAAAGTATATTTTGCAATAATATTTCCATTATATGCTGCATTTTCATACCAATAAGAAGCTTGTATTTTATCATTATTCGTTCCAATTCCATGATAAAAACAATTTCCAAGTTGATATTGCGCATCAGAGATTTCTTCATTTGCTAATATATAATAATAATCAAAAGCTTTAATTTCATCCTTTTTAACTTCTGTTCCCAACCTATAGCAATCTGCCAAGTAGAGGTTTGCGACCATATTCCCATTATTAGTTGCTTCTTTATACCAAAATATTGATTTTACTTTATTCATTTGTATTCCAATACCGAATTCAAAGCAATATCCTAGATAGTATTGTCCAATAATGCTTCCATTTTCTACAGATTTTTGATAATAATCAAAAGCTAATTTATGATTTTTTTCGGTTCCATATCCTTCAACATAGCATTTAGCAAGATAAACTTGCGCAATTGAGTAGTTATTATTTGCTGCATTTAAAAATAATGCAAATGCTTTATTACTATCTTGACCTATATCAATATGATGATAACAAAAAAATCCAAGAAACCAAATATATTGCAGTTTATTTTGATTTTTGATAAGCCAAGTTATAAGAATATTTATGGAAAGATTTAATTTCAATAATGGCTTTTTAATAAGATTTTCAATTTGATCAAATGAGAAGATGCCTTCATTATGTTTTTTAATTATATAACCGATTAACTTATCAATAACACTATTATATATTGATTCTAATGAATCCAATGAACTTTTTGATGAATTTTCAATTTGATAAGACGGATTTGTTAAATTAATTTTAGCTTCAGTTATGCCTAAAGAATTTTGTTTTGAATTATTTTCAGAATTAATATTTTTAAATTGATCGAATATTTCATCTATTATCAAATCATCATTATCTATAATTATTTCACTTGATTCATCAGATTTAAGGCTGGATTCATCATTCGTCAATGGATTACTTACTTCCTTGTGATCGACTGCAGGAGAAACCATTTTGTTAAGCATTGTGACTACCTCTTTTGTATTTGGGCGATTTTCTGGCTCATATTTCCAACATTCTAATGATTTGAATAGATAAATTAAATAATCAAAAACAAAATTTACTAAAATTATTAATAAAACTTACTTTGATAAAGTATACTGTATTCATATGGAGTGCCATAGATTATTTTCTCTCGATTTCCACCTACGATGCTTAAGGATAAACTCACGTCATAATCCACACCATTAAATGGTTTATGTCCACTTGAAATTTGCCACATCAAAACTCCAATACTATATACATCGGACTTTTTATTCATTACATAACTCTTATTTTGATTATTTAAACATTTTGGGTCCATATAAGGTACTACGCCAAAATTTCTTGCGTTATTTGAAGCTTCAGCGATTTTTCTTGATAAACCAAAGTCTGCTACCCTGATGCTTTTCTGATGCATAAGTATATTATTTGCATGCTGTTGATTAAAATAACGACGTTATTAAATATAAATAATCAATCATATACAAATAAATAAAACACATTACCAGATCACAATGTATAATATTATTAATATGCATACATTCTACAGCACTTGCTAATTGGAATGCTAGCTGATATTTGTCATTCCAATCAAGTTTCTCAAAATTCTGATTTAAGTAATTGTTTAATGTATCACCATCAGCGTATTCTAAAACTAATAAGTATCTATTCGTTTGATGAATTGCATCTAAATAAAATTGTATAAATAAATTTTCATGTTAAAATTTTAATATGTAGTATAATTTTAATCCTTACCGAATTCTATCTTTGTAATTCCAAAAAATCGTAAAATATTTGAATGAAAATCAACTTTTCTTTGTAATTTAATCTGTAAAGTTTACATAAATTAAATATTTAATTTCTCAAGTTAATTAATTTGACATTCAAAATATATTTAAATACCTCATTGACAATTTCTTTAAGGGTTATCTTATAGTTGTCAAACGACTTCAAAGCAAAAATGGTATTACTATCTTTCCAATTAGCACGAGAAACTTTACCAAAATTACCACTTCCTATTGGTTGTATGTTGTTGAAGTCAGAATATTCATAAGAATTCAAATTTTCGTCGGCAATGGATTTATCTATCCAAAATAGGTATTCATTAACATTTTTTTTTTTGAAAGTTTTTTTTTGTTAAGATTATTTATTGATCGGCCTTTTATTTATTAGAATTTGAAGAAGGTGAGACAGTATTTATTACAGACCTATCAGCGAAGGCAAATTTCTGTCGATCCCTGGTTTCATACACAAACACTGCATTGTGGCGTTTTCGCGACACCAAACATAAGTAAATACTTCATTTATTGGAATATATTTAACCGACTGAACATTTTTAACACAAAATTTTAAAAGGGAATAATTTATTTTTAATTGTTTAAAGGAATAGTATCATTGGTATTATTTTTCTTTTTGAATAGACGATTAACAAGTAAAAATTTTTTCAAACTAAAAACAAATAAAATGAGGTAATCGCTTAAATTTCGCTCGATTTCTTCTTTAATATACTTTTAATTTTGTATAGGCGATTAAAGTTACTTGGCAAAATATTTCAAATTCTATTAAAGATTTCGGTTACGGTTATTTATTATTAAAATGGCTCGCAAAGATCGTCATATAGTTTTGTTAAATTATGTTGACAGCGCACCCAATGCGACATGTCCGGCGCTTGTTAATTTACGTTACGCATAGTTTTATAACGACCTTTCTTACTTTTGGGGACCCAATTATTAATAAACTAAGACCAAGGGGATTTTCTAGTTATTCGCCTGAAGCGGACGGAAATTATTTCATAAAATATGTTTCTATGCAGGGGTGATACAAAAGTGTTGATTAATACCTTTGGAATGCCAGGATTTGAACTAGACAAAATAGTAAAAGATTATAAGGATGACTTTTGTGGTATATATGTCATCTATCGCTAAACCTGCTGTTGTATGTTAAGCACTTTATTGTACTGTAAATATTTTTTAAGCTTCTTAATAATAAATATATTATTAATTACGCTAATGTTAAGAAAGATTTAGTTAAACAAAATCGTGATATGAGTATAACGAACATAATTTAGAGATTTAACCCGAGCTGACGTAAAATTTCTTATTAATTTAGAAAAAAAAAAAAATATTAAAAAAGATAAGAATTTCTTACCTTCTATTGCATTCTTTATTTCTAGAGAAAAATCGAAATCTCCCAAGATGAATGGGAAATGTTAATAAATTTATATAAAGTAAACATAACCATTTCTTTATAGACAATTTAGTAACGAAAGTTTCTTATAGAACGCTTCTTAATAAGAGAAATGCATCGGAAGCATTTCTTTAAGAAGACTATTAATTCGAGGCTGACTCGCCTCTTTAGAAAAAAAAAAAAAATCGGTACATTTATTTCTTTGTTACCTAATAAGAAATCAGTAATTAAAATAACCTATGCAAAGGAAACGTAATATAATATGGATGCAATACCCGAGTACTATAGAGAGAGCTCTACGATAATTCTTGATATTATGTAACAAGCGGGTTGGTCAAAAATAACATAAATGAAAAGATAAAAATATCATCCATTATTCGCGACCATCAAATGAATAACTTTTTTATTTTTTATTTCATTGATCAAAAAAAGGGAAAATGATAAATTTTTCTGTCTTTTAAATATTTAACATGCCAATATTTTAACTATCTGCAACAAGCAAATATTATACAAGATTTTTTGAAAGTTTACAGTTAATAATTTAATGAAGTTATTGGTTAGGCTGACTTTATATTAATTATTATTATATACTGTACTTGACGGAATATATTTTTTAAAAATTTTTAATCAGACCTATTATCGTATTTAAGCTTTGATCATGATATTACAATACAAGCTATTATTTATATAAAAATACATTTATAAATAGCTTTTCTTATATTTTCATTATTTAAATATAATTACAATGCTAATTTATTAAACTTTTTTTTATTTAATAAAATTTCAAATTTTCAATTTATAACATAAATATATTTATATGTATTATCAAAACGTAGGAAGCGAGGGATCAGTTGGCATTAATTGACTCTCATTTGTTGAATCCGAATTCTTTTGTGCAGAATCGTTTTGCATTTCTAAAAATATGAAATTTAGTTTCTTTACAAAAAATAATAAAGAAATAAAGAACCTTGATAATAAGAAAGGAGTCGAAATAAAAACTTTTCGATTTAAGCGTAGGTTTAATTACTTACTTTAAAAAAAAATTTAATGAAATATAATTTTAAAATTTGTAATAATTAAATAACTAATTTTATTAGATTTGATGCATTATAGATAGTTTGCAAAACTTCTCGAGGTCGTTCATATGCGGTTGCAATAATCCTAAATCTCCAATTTTCCATCGGTAACTTAGTTCATTTGTTTTAAAAAATAATATATTTCCACTATAAATATCTCTATGTATTAGATTCTTTTATGAATAGTTTCAATCCTAATTGAAAAATATAGATTAGTACCGTATATTTACAACTATAATAAAATAATTTAAATATATGAGAAATTATGTATATACCCTTTCAAAATTTGGCATAAATATTTTAATTTCATTTTATTCCATGTTATCAATGTAAAATAAGTTTGTAAATATTTATTTAAATCTCCTGTTGCATATTTCATTACAAACATATAATTATTTGTTTTTGGATCCATTGTTATACCGTAATATTTGATAATATGGCTAACTTGATGATCAGAAGAACAAGTATGATGCGAACTTAACTAATTTTTTAAATATAAAAATTTGTTTTAAATTTTGCATGTGAATTCTGTATCACAGACATATATTAAGTCATAAATTATACAATAATTACCTCATTTAAAAACTTTTTACTAATATCTTTTGAATTTCGAACTAGTTGATCGATATGCACGAATAGATTTACGATTGTCATATTCCGGTGTACCGTCAGACTATATCGCTTTAGAAATAATACCAAAACCTCCTTCTGATATCTTTCTTAAATTTGAAATTTTAGAAGGTGGAATCCATTCCATTATGGAATAATGTGAAGTCTGAAATTTTGCAATAAAATCATAGACTTTTAATGGATTAGAATTTTTATCAATATTTTTCATATAATCAGCAATTTGATGATCATCTTGATCATCTCTAATTTTTATATTACTATTTACGTTGCTTATATCGAGATTGATAAATGATATTCTTTTGCATTTCCTACATTGAGATTGATCTGTCAATCCAAAAGTAATACTTGTTGTTAAACAATATCTACATCCAGAATAAATAATACGGCAACATGTGCACCATTTATGACAATCAGATAATAATTCCAGTCCTTTGACACAATTTTTACATTTATCATTATTATCCCACCATGGTAAATAAAGAATTGGAATAAGCTTTTTAATTAAAGTCGATTCTACCCATCCAGAAGAAATCTTATAACAATCTGAACATATCTGAAAGTCAGATGGCAACTCCTGATAAGCTAACTTCCCACATAATTTACAATCCTTATTATTTTCAAATATTTTCAAATACTTTTCATGTATATGACGATTATAATAATAATCTTGTACTTGATTAAAATATAAAATATCGGAGCAAGTTTCACACCATTTTTGAATGTCTTGCGTGCAAAAATCCGCATTCCTAGCTTCATGTTTATTACAATAAGTACCATTTGTAATTATACGTAGATCCAAATACGTATTATTATCAGTTATGCAACTAATATACTTGGATAAGCAATTTTTACAATAATATTGGTAAAATGTAATTGTCCTTGAGTATTTTTTTCCACAATGACATTTATAATTCCGTACAATTTTAAAAGGAATAAACGTAATTGGTATAGGACTGGATTTTAATTTTGGAGTTGGATCAAAATCATCTTCATTATTTGTAAGAGTAAGTTCCATATTTAAGAAATTTTAATAAAAAATAATGTCTGTATTAGACATTTTATATATTAATTAATGTTACACACAACATTTCCGACTCGAAAACTTGCATGGAATTCTAAAACATTTTTTATCAATTAAAAATTCTAAATTTCTAACTATATTAGTTAGGATCGACAGACAGTTTACGTATTCAACTTTAAACAAGAAACTTTAAATTTGTCTTACGCCGCTTATATATCATGAATAAATTTTAGTAAAGGCAGCCACGATAACGGAATCTTGGTCGAAATATAACCTTTATGGAACTAGTGCTCCGCAATGGTCGGTCGGGTTTAAGGCATATTAGAACTCGAATCCGTTAATATAATTACAGAACTCGAATTAAGGTAGTAGAAAAAAAGCCTTATTTACGACCCATTTATCCCCCTTATAGTGGGATGGCTATTCAAGGGTTATATTAATGCAGAAAATAAAAAAATTGTCAAAAATTTATTTATTTTTTTTAATCCTATTTTTTTTTTTTTTTACATCTTTTTCCACCAGAATTTCAAGCACATACAGGCGCGAATTTATTAGCTTTAAGACCACATCTTTTGGTTGATATCAGATCGGTTCCGCCAGAAAAAAACTTGCTCTACTGGAGCACTTGTTTCTTTAAAAAAATTGTATTAGTTAATGTTTAATAATCGATCTTTTTTTTTTTTACCAATAATTGTTATCTCCGAAATGCTTTTCGTATTCTAGAAAAAGTTGTACTATTGGCGTCGATAAGGTTCACTCATTATTTATTTGTTACAATTAAAGTCGCATAACGTAAAACAAAAAAAAAAAGTCTAGCGCGCCTGATCATCCGGGTCACCCGACTCGGGTCAAGCAAAGACGTTACCCTGACCCGATGGGTAGTGCTCGTGTCATAAAAATGATCCCGACTCGAGAAATTCGAGTCGGGTCAAACGACCCGGGTCAACTCGATCGGTTCGGAGCACTATATGGAACAGCATCGTTTCTCGTTGGATCGGTGAGTTTTTTCATAGTTGTTCTAATGCTCGCATCACTATATTACGTGTTTTAACTTTTTGCAAACGATAAATAATAATACGTTGTTACATTTTTAAATAAAAAATAGTTTCAAGTTTTTACAATTCGAATTGTTACGTGATCAAGTTTTCATAAATTTAGTATAGTTTATCACGTCTTTGTATTATTAGCGCTTCAAAATCGTGTAATAGTTTCTAAATCACATTTGGAACAGTTTTTGTAAAGGCTAAATATATACTGTATCTCTTTTCTAAAGGATTTAGGGTTCGGTTAATAAAAAAAAAAAATAAAGAAATAAAGAAATAAAAAGATACGATACATGGAGAAGAATTTATCCTGGAAAACATAAGATCTTTACAAAAAGGCTGTTTTTAAGCACAATATAATTTTTTTAGAGTAAATTGTAACGATGTTTTACCCTACAAAAAAGGCACCATAAATGTCCGTAACGTCCGGAAAACGTTATATGGACGTTGCCGGGCGATCTTATTTTCATGAGTTTCATATTTGAAGCAATTACCTAAGATACAAATAGAGCTTATCATTTTTTGGTATCCACTGTCACAAATTTCCATCTTTGGGTATAAAGTACGGAGTTGACAGGAGTCAATTCATAAATATATTCAACATGAGACCAGATCCTTTGTTAAATCCCTTTTTAGTCTGTATTGACCTTTTGATCCTCATTAACGTAAAAAACCTATTGTTATAAACATTGAAGATCATTTTAATATACAATAAGAACGACAATTTGTAAACGTCGTTAGATTAATTGAAAACATGTACTGCGCATCTCACTTACTACAAAAATTTGGTTTCAGGAAATTGCATACTCGAGTTGGATAAGTATTCAAAAAAAGATGACCTAGTCAAGAAATTTTAATTTATTTCTTTCTAGCTACTGGGCGATTAATTATTTTCACTAGATAGTTATTTCAAATTTTTTTTTTCGTTCAATTCTTTTTTAAATTAAAAAAAAAAATGTAAAATAACAAAAATATAAATTATACGTTTCTTTAAGAAATCGACAAATTTGTATATATTTTCTTCCGATTTAATTGGTCTTTGCATTTATATTGATCTGATATCGAAGATTCGTAAAAGCTCGTTATTGATAACAGATGGGTGAAACCCAACTCCGCTCTTTTTTACTTTCATAATAACATTCAATTTCAAAATCAGTTTACAATGACTCAAATTTAATAAAGTAAAACACTTCATCTGAAACCCCTTGTTCAATATTATTTCTTTATATCAAATATGAGGAGAATTCCAATGATGAGGGGCTTAATGAAAGTAAATAAAGAATATGAATTAATCACATGCCTTTTGTTTATAATTTGAGATATTTTTATTTTCAAATTAAATCAAAACTATTTTAACATAAGTTAATTATTAATTTTTGTATGGAACTAAACCGCCCCGTTATTTATATTTTGATTTTTATTTTATTTTATTTTTGTTTTTAGTTTTTTTACTTTCAAAAAAAAATAAAAAAGATCACATTCTAAAAAGGGCGGACGAATCATCAACATTTTAGAATGGGAGAGGAGTTAAGATTAGAAAGATAATTTTGGAAAAATGAATTAATGCATGTAATTTGAAATCATGTCATTGCTCCCAGTCAGCCACATCGCAAATAAAGATCAATATCACAATGAGATATGGATCAAAAAACGAATGCAAGCTCTTAAAGCATACAAGTTGACCAAAGTAGTAAAGAAGAATTTTTTAAAAAAAAGAGGAGGTCTTTTACAATTCAAATTTTCAGGGTTAGTTTCCGGGATGCCACCTATTATTCCAGGTTAAATTTCAATTTAATCATGCGAATCAATGTTTTAGGGCATATAGACATCCTGATCACTATCAAGAATAAACAAGGAAATATTCAATTCAGGAACAATGCATGATCGATAAAAAGCGCACACAAGAAAGCTTCAACGAACCCAATTTTAAATGATGATTATGAAAAAATAAAGATAAAAAAAGTGATGTTGTAATGGTTTTAGGTCATCATGTTTCACATTACGCCGGTTGTCTAAAAATACGCATTCGTTATTGATTCAGCGATAACATCACCAAAGAAAAGGATTCAAAAAAAAAAAAAAGAAAAAGGATTTAAACCGATTCTAGATGGAAATTTCGGAATTCCGATTATCATTCAATAAAAGGATGTAAATTACTTATTAGGAAAAAAAAATTGAATCGATTAAGGTAACATAAATGTCAATGAAGATCAAATACGTTCTCATGTGATTGTAACATCTCGATCGATAAATTATTAATTCACTTTACCTTTTAACATTCAAACTTTTTCCTAGCCGTTGTTAAAAGATTGTATAAATACGCTCGAGAAATTTTTAACAGCATCAAGTTACAACACCGTAATATCAATTATCAACAAATAATTCAACATGTCTACTCCCATGGAAAAGATTTTTTCTCATTTGTTTCGATCACATCGAAATCGCAAAAACCAAAGTTTTCACTATTTTTATCTCATTAATGAGGATGAAATTAACAGACTACAATTCCAGCATTACGTTTATCAACAAGTATGGGGAAGCAATTTTTCTGCTCCCGTAACAGAATTATTGAAAACCGATGGCACAAGAATCCTTGATGTTGGGTAAGCTTTTAATTCTTCGTATTTTATTTTACGATAAATCATTCATTCTCT